TGTTATTGTGTGATTTCTTGATAGCAGCCATTCTTTGTGGGGTGAGGTGGAATCTCAGTTTTACAAAGAAATTTCCTAGATGATACAGCTAAATTTAAGAGTCTACATTTAAAAATATTTAAGCCCAACTTCGGAGACTACTCACTATATTAGGCAAGTTATATGGGTCTTAATTCCAAATGCAAACTTGGCTTCATCACATTCTCATTATTGTAAAGAAAGGTAATGACAGAAGATGATGATATGTGATTGTTTGATCCTGTTTTTTTGTTGTTGTTGTTGTTTTGTTTTTTTTGAGACAGGGTCTCATTCCATAATTCAAGCTGGCCTTGAACTCACTATGTAGGCCAGGCTAGCCTTGAGCTCCTGGCAATCCTTCCACCTCAACCTTCCAGAAGTGCTGGGATTACAGGTGTGTGCAACCATGCCTGGCTATGGTTCTGTAACATTAAAGGCAAACACACTGGTCAAAGATACTAACCTTCTCTGGGCCATTCTTAAGGAAATACTGAGCCAATTCAAGGGCCGTTCTAGCATCTTCTGTGGTATCATGCCCAAGCCTGTTTGGACGCTGTATATCTTTCCTGGAAAGTCAAGGCAAAACAAACATACTTGGCAACATTTTTTATGAAAGGCTCTGTCAAACATGTCAAATATCATAGTTAAACATACAATTTCTACACTGTGATAATCAGTGTTCTAGAAAAACATAAAGTTTCAAGACTGTGATAATCAAATTCACATCACAACAATCAAGAATTCCTTATTCTGGCTAACTGCCAGGCCCTAAGAGATATTCTGGAGATACAGAATAATCAGGAATGGTTTTATCAGTAGCAAGTACAGCATCTGGACAAAAGGCTATGCAGAAGGACAGCTGTAGCCCACTTCTCTGCCATCATTTCGTCGACATAAAAACTGTTGAAAGTTACCTTTCAGAAATTTTCTAGTCATATCCAAGGGTCTAAATGTACTTAAGTCCTTACTCTGTTGTTTTCATAAAACTTTACATATATTTATATCTATAGGAATATCTAAATCTAATCCATATCATATCAGTATCTAGGAAATTACATTTTATTCTAAATATTATCTTGATGAGGTCTCTGTACTAGTAAACACAGATCTCTTGAACAACAAAGTGTTCAATAATATAATTTAACCAGTCTTCTAGAGTATTTCAGCTTTTTCTAGTTTGACCCATGTTATAATGAACATCTTTGTACATATGAATAGGATATATTTAATATAGATACGTTAGTGTTTGAAATTTTGGGTAACTTTTCTATCCTTTCTTATCTGGCTCTATTCATCAATCCCTTTTACTATTCCCATATTTCTTCATTTCGCAAGAAATGAAAAGAATAATGTTTACAAACTAAAACGGAGAGCAGAGATCCTGAAGTTTGCAATATGTATTAGATACTACATGCTAACTTATGTGCAGTTTATCAGTACAATATTATAATATGTAAATAAACCTACCCCAAAATAGCTTTGGCTAAGAATTTTAGCTTAAATCTTCTGCCCTGCTCTCTGACATAAAGCAATGAGGTATCAATAAGATATGGATGTATCATCTGAGGGGAAAGAGAATAGAATGAGTAGCATCTTATGCTAAAGAAAAAAAAATATTAAGTTGAGGGTAGAAGATTTCAAGGCTTTAGATTTGAGATAAATGGAATTGCATTTGTACTAGAAAAGTGAAGTCCTAAATCAGATACGCACTTTCAATGCTCTGAGATCCAAGTCTAGCGAGTGTCCCACTAACACAGCATCAGGTGGAAGCAGTGCTCTTAATTGCCTCTGTACATCTTTGAGTTTGGTTGTCACTGAGTTAAAAATAGTCTTTGTGATTCCTGAAAAGCTTTCAGTAAAAAAGGAAAATGGACAGGTCATAATATTAAAAAGTTTTTCTTCCTGGAAAGTTCTTTGAAAACAGAAATAATATATGCTCAGTGTAGAAAAAGGTGAAAATACAAACAAGCAAAAGAAATTGAAAACTAGTCATAATCCCATCACCCAGGGATTACCATGTTTTATTCTAGTAAATGTCCTTTTTAAAAAATTAATTGATTTGTGTGTGTGTGTGTGTGTGTGTGTGTGTG